GTTTCTGTTTTGTGGGAACTGGGAGGGGCTGCGTGCGCGGGCTTTTGGGCATTCCTTTTCTTTGTCTGTGGGGGGGGGGTAGTTAGTCTCAGCTAAAACGCTGGGTGAGGCATGTCTGACTTTTGGATCTATCAATAAAGTTCTGTTGGTTCTTCAATCAAACTGACTGGTTGATTGTCCAAGGTGCTGCTGCCAACTCTGACAGTTAGCTGAGACACACTACACCAAATTTTGCCTCTTGTTCTTGCTCCTCTGGAGACCGAGATGGAATGGGGTGAGACGGAGGAAGCCGTGTCCTCCAAAGAAAGCCAGACTACTGAGGCTGGAGAGGAATCTCAGACGGCGGATAGAGGAACCGGAGCTGTGCCAAAGGCAGGGGGGCAGCAGTTGCCACAGACCCCACTGGTGCCTGGGCAGTGGTTTGGAGCTCTGGTGGCGCCACTGCACACGAAAGAGCGAAGACGGGCGGTGAGGTGGTCGGACTGGAACACAGGGTTCACACAACCTCTACAGCTGCCATCTGGAGGGGAATCCAACCTGGAAACGCAAGTACAACAGTTGAAAACGGACATGGAGGGGGTGCAGGGGACTTTAGCCACGATCCTAGATGTCCTTCAACAGATCACGGGGGACGGAGCAGGGGGTGCAGGAGCAGGACAGACCCCGGCCCCAGCCCCAGCCGCGTGGCTCCCAGGAGCGGGAGCAGGGGAAGAAGATGCTTTGCCCCAGGGCCCCCCACCAGTTGCCCCTCTGCAAGATAGAGCGCAAGACACGCAGGCCAAGAAAATGGGAGTCAAGTTTGATGGAGACCCCCAAACACTGCCCTACTTCCTATCGCAAGTGGCGGATCACATGGAAGAATGGGGCCCCACTTTCCCCTCCGAGGTAGCCAAAGTGAAGTGTGTGGCGAGGCACCTGAGGGGGGAGGCGGCAAACTGGCTAGTGCAGCTATATGATTGCCAAGCCCCAGAGCTGGGGAGCCTAGCCGAATTTATGAGGGCCCTTAGAGCCAGATTTGAAGACCCCTTTAGGGCCACCACTGCCCTAGCAGAGCTCAAGGCTCTGGATCAAGAATCCAGGACAGTGGCGGAATATGCCATGGAATTCAGAAGGTTAGTGGCCCAAGTGCCTGACTGCACGGAAGGAATGAAGATTCAATACTTCAAGGAAGGTCTGCGTCCGGAGATAGCCAAATGGACTCTCACCATGGGCAAGCCCCCCACAGCCATGGAATGGATTAGAGTGGAGGGAGAAGCAGAAGCCATTCTACATGAGGTCAAAATGCTAGACCAAAAGCGATCTAAAGATGTAAAAGTAAAAGGGAGCCGAGCCCAAACACCAAAACCCAAAGGGCAAGCCAGTTCTGCTGAGAGTGAGTGGGAGAGGAGACACCAGCTGGGCTTGTGTTTGAAATGCGGCCAGAAAGGCCACCTAATTGCAGCCTGCCCGGTCATGAACCAGGAGAGGAAGACCAGCCCCCCTCAGGCTCCCCCGAGCAAAGCCACAAAGAAGGAGAAAAGCAAGCCAGAGAAAAAACCCTCCACTGAGCGCAGCCTAAAAGCAGTGGAAGAAAGAGAAACAGAGGTCTGGACAGAAAGCGACAGCTCCGAGGCTGAGGAGGGGCCTTTAAACTTCTTAAGCCTGCCTTAGAAAGCGGCGAAAGGCGGGCTACTGGAATAGAGAGCTGCGGACGGATGGTGAGGGGGGGTGTCCCCCTATTTTCGGTGTCAGTGACTCTGGTGGTGGGATCCAAGAAAAGGGCTATGCAATTAATTGCGGCCATTGACTGTGGGTGCACTAGGTGCCTAATTAACCCTTCAGTGGTAGACTGTTTGTACATAGTCACCCACCCTTTGCAGGAGCCCATTCCTTTTGTTCAGATGGATGGATCCCTGATGGGGGGCGAGCGGCAGAGAAGAACACCGCCCAGTGTGGCTTTGAGGAACAACTTCAGTTGGTGGTGGAACACACTTATAATTATCACCTGATGTTGGGCATAGACTGGTTACACCACCACAACTCTACTTTGAGGTGGAGGGATGGACAATTGATTTTTGATGACCCGGGTTGCAGAGAGCACCGTCTTGATCGGAGGATTGTGCTCCCTCCTCTCCTCCCCACGGTGCCACTTCCAGGGCAAACCCCAAAAGAAGCAGCTACCCATTTAGAAGGTGGACCCAAGGATGGGGACATTGACAGGACTGGGGAGGGCCTGCAATTCATTCCCCAGTGCTACCTAGATTTAAAAGGAGTTTTTGAAGAGCAAGAATGTGCCGTGTTGCCTCCACACAGGGAGACAGATTGTGCAATTGAAATATTGCCAGGAGCACCACTGCCTAAACCTAAGTTGCACTCTATGATCCCAAAAGAACTGGCCACCTTAAAAGAATATATTGAGAAAAACTTGGCCCGGGGGTTTATCAGGCCATCCACTTCCACCTTTGCAGCCCCAGTGTTTTTCAGAGAAAAAAAGATGGTTCTCTTCATCTGGTGGTGGACTATCGCAATTTAAATGGGATTTGTAGCACGAAATAAATACCCTTTGCCCCTAAGGACATGTTGGGAACATGTTGGGAAGACTGGTTACGGGCAAGGTGTTCACTAAACTGGACTTGAGGGATGCTTACCACCGGGTGCGCATCAAGGAGGGGGACGAATACAAGACTGGTTTTAATTGCCCCTTGGGGGCATTTGAATATCTCGTCCTCCCTTTTGGACTATCTGAGGCCCCTGGGATTTTTATGAGGCACATCAATGAGGTACTACACGATTTGCTCTTTGAGGGGGTCCTAGTATATTTGGATGATGTACTCATCTACTCTACATACCTAGATAGCCACATTAAACTAGTAAGAGAAGTTCTCCAGAGACTATGGGATAACCAACTATATGTAAAGCTATCAAAATGTCATTTCCACACGGAGAGACTAGACTTTTTGGGTTACAGAGTCTCTAACCAGGGCATAGAGATGGACCCTGCCAAAGTACAAACAGTGTTGGATTGGGAGCCCCCTAGAAACCGCAAAGATGTTCAAAAGTTTCTAGGCTTTGCTAATTTTTACAGACAGTTCATTCCTGATTTTGCCAAGATTGCTTTGCCCATTACTGACTTGTTATAAACCAAGGGAGCACACAAGAGTGGGGGAGAAGGAGCACAAAAGGGGGTTAAGGTACCCAAACCTTCCACCCCAATTCATTGGTCTGAGAAGTGCCAACGTGCCTTTGACCAGTTAAAGTTATTTTCAGCACTGAACCTGTCTTGCTTCATCCAGACCCTGATAAACCTTTTGTAGTTCAAGTGGATGCCAGTGACTTTGCTATGGGGGCAGTCTTGCTACAAAGGGATGATAAAGACAAGCTCAGGCCATGCGCTTACCTGTCTAGAAGGTTCCAGAACTCCGAGATTGCCTGGCCTTGCTGGGAGAAGGAAGCTTATGCAGTTAAACATTACTTTCCCCCCAACACTTTCTCATTTTCTCCCGTTGGAAGAGCGGTTGTCTTATACGGCGAGTATATCCCAAACTCTATA